GCCCCCCCCCCCCAAAAAAATCAGCAAGGGGAGGGGGCACTCAGGAAGGAGGAAACTGCTCAAAAGTGCTGGTTTTGCCCCGAAACTGCCCCCCTCTTTTTAGGCAGGGGATAAAAAAAACCTCATTATCTTCTAATTTATCTCCTCAGCGGTGGTGAGCGTGGTGGCTTCAATAAATTCGGTGGTAAGTCCCAAGAGTTCGGCATTTGAACCCAAAAAAAAAAAAAAGTGTCTGTTTTTTAACCCCTTCTCTCCGCAACAGCCTGGTCGGGGGCGTTTTGGGGTGAGAAAGCCCCAAAAAAGAGCTGCGGCGGCTGGCCGGAGGCGACGTCATCGGGCTGCGTCTTGGGTGTTTAAACAAACAAACAAACATATAAAAAAAAAAAAGGTCGTTTTTTGGGGGCAAACCGGAGAAAAAAAAAACCGAACATGCACACGGCGACCGCGGGCGGAAAAAAGGCCGAACGGGGAAATTGCAACTCTTGGCAAAGCGGTGGTCTTATTTTTTTTTTTTTTTTTGGGGGGTGAAAACGCTGGTTTTTAGCAAAACGGTTGCATGTGGTTTTAAAAAACGATAACGAAAAACCGGAGGTTTGGTGCAAAGTTTGGTTCCGGGGGAAAAACAAGAAAAATGCAATTTTGGGGCTTGTGTAAAGTGCCGGTGACCTGAGGTTGATGGAAAAAAAAAATCATGATAATGCGTAAAATGGTCAAATTGCCGTTTTTGCCCCCAAACGGGGAGCGGTGAGGTGGTGAGCGCTGCAGTGTACCGACCGAAAACGGAGTGTCTTGGTTTTACCCATCTTGAGAGTTCTCACGCCGTTTTGGAGGGGTTTGCTGAACTGGGGCGTTGCTGGTGGTATTTTGAAGAACAAAAAGTGTGTTTTGAGACAAAAATACCCAAAACTGCCACCCCGGGGGCGACGAGCAGAGACGGATGGCCCCGGTGCCTCAGTTTTGGGGTGAAAACCCTGGAATTGGCGAGTAATGTCGGCCTTGGAGGGGGCCCCTTTTTGGGGGGGAGAGCGAATGAGAGGAAAACAAAAAAAAGCACTCTGAGTGTTTCTAGGTGCCAAAATTGTTGGGTTTTCACCCCAAAAAGGGGTGTGGGCCGAAATGGGTGGGGAAAAGGCGTTTTTTCCCCCGGTTTTTCCCGATTTTGGGGCGTTTGGGGTGGGGGGGAGGGGATGGGGTGTGTGCCCTCCCCCCTCCCTGTTGCCTAATTAACGCTTTGCCTTTTAATTTTTGCATGTGCCGAAAGGACCCCGGGACCAAGGGCCGCGGCATGATCCTGGTAAGGAGGGGAGGGGGCTAATGAGGGGAGGAAGAGGATTACTTGGGGGTGGGGGGGTGTTAATTGGGACAGTGAGGGGGGAAAGGCGTTAAGGAAGGGGTAATGAGGTTATTGAGAGAAAGGGGGGCTAATGGGGATGGGTTAACGAGGCTACTGAGGGTTAATGAGGGATGGGGGGGGCTCTTGAGGGGAGAAAGAGGCTAATGAGGACTAACGAAGGCTGGTGCTAACGAGCTCTTTCCCCCCCCGCAGGCGAGCAGGATAACTCTGACAACAACACCATCTTCGTGCAGGGGCTGGGCGAGAACGTCACCATCGAGTCGGTGGCCGACTACTTCAAGCAGATCGGCATCATTAAGGTGAGCTGCGTGGCCTTAGCGTGGCCTTAGCGTGGCCTTAGCGTGGCCTTAGCGTGGCCTTAGCGGTGTACCATCCCTAGCATGTTCTCAAGTGCATACCATGGAGTTTTAACCAGCGGCCAAGGGGCTGGGGCATCTGCGTGTCATTAACTTCCTGACGTATCGTGTTCCTTGCGTGTTTGCGTGTCCTTAGCACGTTGATGTGTCTTGCGTGTCCTTGACGTGTTGCTGCATGTCCGTAGCGCATCCTGCTGTTCCCCCCCAAGACCAACCCGATGGGGACACCCACGATAAACCCCCCGGGTCCTTAGCGTGTCCTCGCCCCCTCCCTGTACTCTTAGCGTGTTTTTAGCGTGTCCTTAGCGTGTCATCTCCCTCCCCAGACAAACAAGAAGACGGGGCAGCCCATGATCAACCTCTACACGGACCGGGAGACGGGCAAACTGAAGGGGGAGGCCACCGTCTCCTTCGATGACCCCCCCTCGGCCAAAGCCGCCATCGACTGGTTCGACGGTAGGACCCCCCCCTGGATCCCCCCCGGTCCCCCCAAAAAAGATGGAAATTTTGGGGCTGAATTCTCCCGTTTTTAGGCAAAGAATTCTCCGGCAACCCCATCAAGGTGTCCTTCGCCACCCGCCGCGCCGACTTCAACCGCGGCGGAGGGGGCGGCCGGGGCGGCCGCGGCCGAGGAGGTGAGACGAGCCGGGGGGGGGGCGCCGAGGGAGCGCTCGGGCATCCCCAAAATCCCCTTTTTTCACCCAAAAAACCCCCACCTCCTTTCCCAGGCCCCATGGGACGAGGCGGTTTTGGCGGCGGCAACAGCGGTTCCGGCGGGGGCAACCGGGGCGGTTTCCCCAGTGGCGGCGGCGGCCAGCAACGCGCCGGCGACTGGAAATGTCCCAACCCGTGAGTTTGGGAACTGGGATGAA